AAAAAGGGAGGGTTAAATGTTCTCATCCTCCCATTTTGTCAAAGCTAATCTAAAAAAAAAGTGAAATATGGAATCCCACATTTTATTTCCTGGCAACTGCTTTATTCAGATCACAAAATGAGTAATATAAATTCACCACACTCCTTTCTAAATATTAATCATGCATCTTCACAGTGTGATTGAAGAACATTTATCAACTGGAGCATTGGCCTCACCTCTCTATTGTTTTTAATGCAAACTTTTATTCCCAGTTAAATCAGAGAATAGGGCTATATAGAGAAAATTTCAAAGCTAGAAGAAAGGGGTTAGGAGGCATATTTAGTCTATCTTTTCTCGGTTTACAGATAAAAGAGTCCCACAAAGATGTTGTTGTAAGATCACACAGGTGTTGGCTGGTGGCAAATACAGCATTGTAATCCAAGCTCCCCAAATTTCAAACTTTTCTTTTTGTTACTTTACCCACCTTTTCTCAATATTTAAATCATGTTAGAACATAATGTAAAATAGTCGAAGCCACTTTTTACATTCCATTGTTCTCATCATTGGTGATAGGATTAAATTGCCATTGCCTTGTATGGTGTCAAAAAGTTGGTAAACTCCAGAGTAAGGAGATGTGGGTTCTTGTTCAGCAAAGGTTATGGGGCAGGCTTCCCATACTTACAGGTAATGTGTTTTGCTTGGTAAGTGAGAAGATTTGATAAAAGAGAACCTCTTTAGACAAAGAAGAGAACTCTGTGAGTAAAGAAAGCGAGGGGCCTTGAAAGCCTGTAGCCTGTGCATGTTGAAATTAATAGTAGACTGATGATTTCCGGTCCTGTGGCTTTTACACTCTGGATTAGCTGTAGTTCCTTAATGTATTTTAAAAAACAAAAAAAAACAAAACCTGTTGCTGTCAAGTCAATTCCAACTCTTAGCAACTCCGTAGGACAGAGCAGAGCTGCCCCATAGTGTTTCCAAGGAGCAGCTGGTAGATTTGAACTGCCAACCTTTTGGTTAGCAGCTGTAGTTCTTAACCACTGTGCCACCAGGGCTCCCCACTTAATGTATAGGAAAAGAGAACTTTTAGAAGTTAAACCAATGAGGGAAAACAGTTTTTCTCTTTTCCTGATTTGACCATAGTTTTGTGAAAATGAATTTTGAAGTGTTTTTCTTTGCATTTGGGCTTCTTCGCAAGAAATGAAGTCTGTATAATCCGTTACTTCTGATCGTTTTCCTTAAAGGGCTCTAGGATAGACTTATGGATAGTATTTTAAAAATATAAATATACTCTTTCCAGTCATAGAAACCTTCCCATCTAAGAGGTGTTCCCCCCCTTCCCAAAAAATGTGGGGCTATCTACTCATACCCATAAAGCACCAAGGCAAAATACATGGTATCTGACACTAAAATAACCACTGATCTATTCTTGAGCATTACAGCCCTGTGATCAGACAGAGTGACTTGTAGTCAAATCTAGATGCCAAGTTGCTGTGCCACCTTCTAGCCACCAAGCCCTGTAACTAAGCATTTTTGTTTTATAAAATTACAGAATAGATGCTGTTTGGTAAGGTATTTTGTCCTATTTTAGTACTTATATTTCATTTAGAAAATGACTCTTACTTGATTTTCTCACATACTCATTCCGTTTTTCTATTTGAGGGTGTGCATATGACAAAATGAATACTTTCAGTGTCATTTTTGGAACAATTATCCATCCCCACTCAGTATGGACTGTCTTGTTCTTATGGAGTCTCTTCATTGAATCCACACTGGAGAGAGATTTGACACTTCCTGGTTTATGTACACATTGTTGGTTGGCAGTTCAGAATTTATGGAAGCTCAGTTAGGAAAGGCCACTGCCGATTTAGTTAGTTTGAAAAGAGTTTTGCCTAAACAGATCTGCAGCCTTCTTCTACCAAGCATGCAAATACAAAACAGTTCAAAAATTGGGTTAAGACATTAGACAGTTATATAAGGTAGGGCTTGCAAATATAATTTGAATAATCAAAATTTTCACAAATGATCTAACTAGTACAGTGATAAAACCTGTTACAGATGTCATTCATAAAGATGGTTGTATTTTTGTGAAATGGAGACTTACATAATACTCGCAAAAATTTCCCTGATAAAATGGAAATCCTTCAAAGCCAGACCCTATTCTTACTCATCTCTGTATTCCCAGCACAGTGCTTGGCATACAATAGGCACTGAATGTTTATTGCATGAATAAATGAATGAGTAAATGAATAGATGAATAAATGAATGAAACTCATTTCTTAGATTGTCTGAAATGAAGAGATTAAAATGTTTCCTTCAAATAGGAAAAATGCATGCATGCCCATGCTTTCTGCTTCACTTTGAGAAGGAAATAGATTTTTTTTCTGAGTATTTAGAAACACAATTAAAAATTAATGTCTTCCAATGTTCTACATTCTACCTTGGTGAGTAGTGTCTGGGGTCTTAAAAGCCTGTGAGCGGCCATCTAAGATACTCCACTGGTCTCATCCCT